CCCGGCTCGGCCCCGCTGCTGCCCGGGCGGCCTCAGGCTCCCGCGGGCTCGTCGTGCTCCGGTGTCCGGGCAGGGCAGCCTCAGGGTGGGGGGAGCTACCTGGAGTTCCTGCTTGAGCAGCTGCAGGCATCAGTTGTTCTGGGCATCGACTTGGGTGCTTGCAAAGTACCCGCTTAGGTGCTTGCCTTGAGCAGGCTGCGGTGCTCTTAAGTGCACTGAGTAATAGAAAATAAACCCTCGGGGAAAAAACCCGAAACAACCAACATTTTTCTGTTCTGAAATAACATGTAAGCTGTATTTGTTCGTGTACTTTGAGCGACTAAACTGTTTAGTTTGATGGAGGCTGTGCAAATCTTGGAGCAATATAGCAGCTGAAAATGTACTAACACCGAAGCATTTTGTCAGTTTTTCTGTTGCTGCTGGTGTTTGTCTTCATCTGATCCACCTTCACTTTATTGTTAATGTTTTTTAAATCTATGAATACGTTTTGCAGGATATTTTAAAATAGATATTTTATTAAAACAGTAAGCTTAAAATAATGATGAAATAGTGTCTTCTGGGTTACTACAAGTTGTTTTCCCTTAAAATGAGTGAATTCTTTGGGAACTGTGATGGCAGGGACGTTTTAATATCTTGTATATAAAACTCCAGCATTTAAAACCCCTGTTGGTTTGTGCAAGACAAAGCTTGCACTTACGGGTTTCATGTAAAATGCATGCAGAATATCCTAGGTTCAACAGTGACAAAAGTTTATAGACTATGTTGAAAAATCTATGATTATTTTTTTATGAATGTCCAGGATTTGGAAGTGTGGGTTTTCTTCTCATCTCAGTGTAGAGTGGAATCTGCGGTCTGCAAGTGGTAGCAAGGAGTGTGTTACCCGAGAAGCCTTAACAACAGGGAATAGTTGTGTTTGTATTATGTGTTTTCAGGACTGACGCCAAAGAATCTGTCATCACTGTACAACATCTACCTATCTTTGAACGGTTAAAAACTCTCCATGTGGTAGAAATCCTGGGGTGGTGCTGCCTAATACATGGAAGTAATCTGCCCTCGGGGTTTTCGTTTCTGTTCCTAGTGCTGATCCTTTCTGTAGTGCACTGAGAACTGTGGCAAGTCATGGTAAAGGTTGTAATTAAAATGAGTGATTACTGATCATGAGTAAGTGAATTCTGTATTATTAAACTTAGATTGGCTTGGAAAAAGTTCTGAAATTAACATCTCCCTTATGAGGAAAGGCTGAGGGAGCTGGGTCTCTTTAGCTTGGAGAAAAGGAGACTGAGGGGTGACCTCATCAATGTTTACAAATATGTAAGGGGTGAGTGTCAGGGGGATGGAGTTAGGCTTTTCTCAGTGATGACCAGTGATAGGACAAGGGGTAATGGGTGTAAATTGGAGCATAGGAGGTTCAAGGTGAATATCCGAAAAAAATTTTTTACTGTGAGAGTGACAGAGCACTGGAACAGGCTGCCCAGGGAGGTTGTGGAGTCTCCTTCACTGGAGACATTCAAAACCCACCTGGATGCGTTCCTGTGTGATGTACTCTAGGTGACCCTGCTCTGGCAGGGGGGTGGGACTAGATGATCTCTCGAGGTCCCTTCCAACTCCTAAGATTCTATGATTCTATGATTCTATGAAAATTACATGGAGTACACCTTTAAATTTTTAAGTCTTGTCTAGAAAGAAAGATGGGGGGAAAGCCATGCTGTGCTGGAATTACAGATGCAGGGTTTTCTTGACTGTTGGACAAGGATGTTGCTACTTTAGTACGTTGTTAGGAAGACTTACTCGTGCGATTTAATACCTTCAGGGGATTTGAGTAGTGCTTTGTGCCTTTTAAATAAAAGTGATCTGAGCTGTTGTGCATGGTTCCTTCGAAGTGTATGAATCCAGTGGGTCAGAAGTTAACAAGAAATTAGTTTCTGCACAGTGGTACTCACAAGAAGTGGCAGAGCAGATGACTGAATTTTGCAAGCTGAGGGAAAATGGAACTGTGTTGGAAAAGAAAGAGAAGGGAGAACACATTCCACAGTGCACTTAGTTCACTTATTTGCCAAGTATAATTAATTATAATTTTAAATAATACCTTTACAAAAATACTGCATGAACTAAAATGTGTCAAAGCTCATAGTATAGAACTGTAACTCTTTAAGGAGAAGCTCTCCATATAGCACACAAGAAAACTTTTAACAAACACTTGTATTTTTGGTTTTTTTTAAGACAAAAGGTCTCTAAATGTATCGTAAAATAAAGCTACAGGAAAGTTTACAATGCATGTGCTTCATTTAGCATAAGGATTTGTCTTAAAATACATGTATGATTGGCAGACAAAATTATCAGCTCAAGACGAACTTTGTTGTTTCTTCTAATCTTCAATTGAAGGACTTCCTGCAAATTCATTCCTATCACTGTGTATGTAGGATTACTGTTGGGCATTGTGGCTTAAGTGGCTCTTCTTCAGAATGCCTATTTGTCAGAAGCAGAAGGAACAGGGGAATGGAGGGGGGGAAGATAATGAAAATAGGTGATTGTAGAGCAGTATTCTTGTAGATGTGTTTTAATTTATTCAAAATATTGTTACAAGATGAAAAGCAGTATGACATTTTAGATACACAGAGTCATTTAAGTGCTGGTAGAGGAGAGAGTAGTTTTAAATCTTATTTATTAATATTTCAAGAGAATATTCCCTTAAGTGTCCTTTAAAGGGGCACTGACATGAAGGGTTATGATAATGTTTCATGTGCAGTATTATGCAGCTTATTTCTGAGTCTTATTTTGACTTCTTTCCCTTGACTTCCAGAAAAGGTTGAAGAAAATAATGCTTTCTTAATTTTAAGTTGGGCATGCAAACTAAGAAAATTATATTTTACTATTTAGGGCTTCTGATTTGTATTCAAGGCTAAGATGAATAGTTACATGGTGCACACGTATGCCTGCTAATGGTCACTGATACTCAATATGAAGAATAGCAAGGAAGTA